TTATGCTTAGATACTACTTGGAATATGGGCTAAAGTTATCTATAAGAATGAGATAAAAAGTAACAGTAGTTCATACAAGATAGTTTATTTCTATTTCTGCTAAAAGTCTGATTGGTCCAGAATAACCAGATATTTCTGCACACAGAGTCAGGAACTCAGGTACTTTTCATTGTGTTGCTTTTCCATTACCTTGGTTCTTGTTCTATGTGCACAGCCAATCTAGTTTATGGACACATCTGCATTCCATACAGTAGAAAAGAGGCAAGAGAGAGACAATCGCAGACAAGAAATTTTTACTTACTAAAGTGATGCAGAACTTGTACATGTCACTTTATCCATATTATTATGTAAAGAACTTAGTCACATGGCTACCTACCTGTAAGGTAAGCTGGGAAATAGTCTCAAGGTGATAAACATGTGCTTGTCTAAAGTCCATTACTGTTGAAGAAGGAGAGAATTCACTGAGAAGCCAACTATCAGTCTGCCATATCTAACATGCATAATCCCTAGTATAGTACCTGCTAATTCATAGATGCTCAGCAATTGGCATCTACTTTTATTACAAGAGTAATACTATAAACAAGTGTATATTTTGTAAAACGAGTTGAAGGATTTACAGAAAGGTATGAGAACTTTTCAACAAAGGCAGATTTTTAAGTGGAGGAGAAAGAGTGGTACATATATCCTTTTCTTGGTTTAATATGACACTTCATTGCCTCAGGTTGCCACTTTTCCACTCTGCTATGATGCCCAAAAATTCCACCATTAGGGTCTAATTATTTTGAATACTCTGGGAGTGAATAATACATTGTTATGGGTTATTATCATCCCAGGATAAATTTATTAATTTGTTATCTCCTGTCCGACTCCTTCCCTTTCCCAGTGTTATTACAAAAATCCAAAAGAATCCATGCATAGAAGCAAGAATTTCCCAGCGGGGCAGGAGAAGAGAGGAAACAAAGCAAGGAAAGTCAGAAACCTCGTTATAAGCTCAGAGCAGGCACCTGTCAGAATAAATAAGGGCACGACAAGTGAGTTTTAGTATAAAGGGAAGAGAATGTGGTTCTGAGCAAGGGCTGAGCCCTGAGAAGGTAGGTTTTAGTGGAACTATAAGGATACTAGGTGCTCTTGTTGGGGAGAAGGCAAAAAAAGGGGGCACCAGAGGCGCTGATAACAAAGCAGGTCCTCCACAAAGTTTTCACAGGGCCGATCATACTTCAGACCATACTTCTGCCACACCTGCATTCAGCCAGATACAAACAAGGAATATGAAAGCTCCCAGGGCTTTGAGCTTTTAAAAAGCTCAGTGCAATTTCTTGACTTTGTAGTTATTTAATCAAGGCAAGCAAGAGATATATTCAACAACTTTGTGATTGAGATGTGCTCAGAAGTTAACTCTTGCCTTCTCAGGCAAATGAAAAGGGAATACTAGACATTAAAAATTCTCTAAATTTGATCTGCCTGCTTCGTGGCCTGGAACTAAACATGGTTCCTGGAGTTTAACCTTTACGTGATTGGCACCCAGGCTGGAATAAATGGTGGCCAGTTAGGACATTATTAAGAGTTGCAATCTATAAAGGGTGATAAAACATCGCTAATAATGTAACAAGATGGGTAAATACAATTTGGTTTTTAACCAGAATTTCTTTCAGGAAGATTGTTCTGTTACTAGAAGGAATAATTTGAATATGTTATGTAGGGTTGATGTTAAACCAGCCAAAGATTTGCTTAGAACTCTTTAGGTCTTCATTTAAGCTGACACTTCAAAAGCTGAGAATAACACAATAGGTCATAGGTAAGTTGTGCTCACATTCCAAAATGAATTGCTAAACCAACATGCAAAGAAGGTCAATCAATTTTGCAGGCTTAGGCAAACAGTTGAGGAAATAAACAGATTTGGGTCGAAAATGTTGGTGAGGGGAGTATTTTTTGGAGAAAATTGCTGAAGTACTATGGCTATGCCATCCTTGGCAATGTTGGAGTAGTAGGGAATGCTAACCTCTACCTCAAAGAAGAAGAGCTTCAGGAAAACCAGTTTAAAAATCTGACTTATGTCCATGACACTTGTAGGGAACAGAGACCAGAGAAGTATAAAGAGAAGGGACTGTAGCTGTCTTGCTGCTGTCAGGCAGGTAAGCAGTCTGTAAGCAGCAGTAGGTGGGTAAGAGCACAAGGATCATTATGGAAACTGCTAGGTTGGCTTGCCACAATTCCAGAGATTCAGCTGGCAAAATGACAGTGATCCCAAGTGGATTCAGGGTAGATTCTAACAACATAAAAAAGGCAGTTTCCAAGGTCTCTCTCCCATAGGACGGCATGGAGATGACACCAAATATGAGGGGTGGTGTGGGTAGTGGCCAATCTGCTGCTGAGGAGCCAACTCTAAATTACAGTCAAGCAGTTGTATAGACTTAAATAGAGTCTACATCTGTACCCCAAGGTGGGAGGGGACAAGTGTATGGAAAGCTCTGTGCTCAGCTGATATTAGGGAGATGGATGAGAAATGGTCTTGTGGCAGTGTCATACAAGATAGAAAGGCAGATGAAAAACTGTGCTGGGCAGCTCCTCACAAGGCTGCTTATCTCCCTTTGTTCTGGGAGGAATCACAGGGTGTTTGGCCAACACTTGGCTCAGAGCGTGGTCAAGTTTTGCCTATGTGGCCCACGTAGAGAACAAGGCTGTAGGGTGCTGTGGTGAAGCTGTTTCCCAAGTCTGCCTTGACATGGCAGATAAAAGAATTCTGAACTGGGGAGTGGATGCTTTGGACTTTGCCTGCAGGGTAGATGGGATCCCCAGTAGTGGAGGCCAACTATTTGCAAATGACTAGAGGCTAGGGCAGGAATCATAAGATGCAAACAGAAAGAGATACATCTCCAAATTATATGAAATGGAGTTGTGTATTTCTTTGATATATCTCAGAAAAATATTTACCCAACATGGAAGAAGTAGGTAAAAACATAGTATACATAGAGTTTAGTACTTTCTGTGGTTTCAAACATTCACTGAAGGTCTTGGAACGTATCCCCCAAGATAAGGGTGAACTACTGTAAAGGCTTTCATCTGGAAGCAGATCAATATAGAGGAAGAGAGAAATGATTGAAGTTTGCAGTTTTGACTACTATATTGGAATGAATATTTTAATTACTTTTATTGTACTTTGACTAGAACTTCCTGGAGGACTTTTAAAATATTATCTATAAATGAATATAAAAGCCAAGATATCATCCATTGGAAGGGAAGGAACTAGCCCAGAGAAATGATTTAAGGGATGGTGAGGAAAAGAATAACATTGTTTTCTCTTTGTATCCTGTCAGGTTCTAATTTTTTAACATCTGGGCTATACCAAGGAGTATGCCTGAGTAGATGGTGAGAAACTGACTTTAAAGCAAGATAGGTGTCCTTTTCCTGAGTAGGGTATGCAAGTTTGGACTGCAGTTGAATTGCCTCAGGAAATCAAGGGAGGATTGAGGCTGCCCCCAGCCCCTCCTTTTCCAGCTTTCCTCCTACACACCTTCAAAAAAATATTAAAATAATACTGAAGAAATACAGATTTGAAGGAGTGCCAATTTATTAGTCTGTTGGCTGCAGCAGACAAATTGGTCTGACCCTGGACCCAGATTTTTCTTCTTAGATAGACTGAGAATCAGGATGTCAGTAATTCTAAAGTGGAATAGATTTGGAATAAGAATAGGTGGAGCATTTCTTATTCCAAATCTTGCTGCCTCTACAAACAATTTACTTGGGCTTTCAAAAACTCATCAAAGAATAGTAGTGTCTTCCTGGGTAGGCCACAGTATCAATACAGAGACGGCTTATGTTTATTATTAGGACATATAGTGTCCAGCAAGTTTCAATGTTTTTGAGACTAAGAACCAATTTTAACATATAACTGTAAGTTTCATATGAAGATATGGTTAACAGGCTTTTAAAAGACAATTTAAAAAAAAAAGAATATTTTGTTATGATCAGACATCATTTAATGATTTTTAGATCTGGAAAAACTTGTCTCTATGAAAACACTTGGATGAGTCATGACTGAATGAGAACTAGAGCATCAGACCAACAAAAATATGCTTAGGAGTTTCAAAAGATCTTGTTATTGTCCTAGTGACCAATCAGCATGTTTTTCTTTTCATTCTATATAGCCAGTATAAATATTTAACTTCTGTTTTCTAAATGCCAAGACTAACACATCTTTAATCAAATAGAAGCTAAATGTTGGTGCTCAGATTTCAAAGAATGAGAGAACTAAAAAGAGATTTGAATACTTCCTTAGTTTATCCAAGTGAATGCCCCCACACCTGGAATTTTATTTTTGGCACCCAGATATGGAATTTTCATTTGTTTTCGTCACACCCTACTTTTAATTCAGGGAATCACAGGGCACTTTTAAAATACTCAAATTTAGTTTAATTAAAGCAATGTGCCTGAACATACTCCTAGCAGGATGGCTGGGCATAATGAAATAAGGCTAACAGTGAAGATTATCTACAGTCCAAAATGTTGAGTCTTAGTGTATGAAACCTGTTAAAGTGGGAAGTTATCTACCTACAGTATTCAGAAATGGACAGCCAAGATGTTCACTCAGCAACCCACTTTAGTAATAAATTCAGCATATTAGATAAGCAGGTAATCCCCTGATAGATACTTTGTCCAGTGTCCCAAGTATTACATGAGGGAAAATTGTATACTCCATATGAATATGATGGGAATAAATAAAATTTCGTTCAGGGTAGAATGACTCAGGGCAAATATCTGAATTTATAGTAGTGATGGTTGGACAGACAGCAGGTAGAAGGTTCCCCATAAACTTGTGCTCACAAATACAGTTTTGTACACATAACATCCATTCAAAACTTACACACTACGAGTCAAAGAGACTCCCTTCTTTTCCTTGTCTCTAAAGTCAAATACTGCCTACATTTTCTCTCCATGGTGTCTTTGATATTAATTTAAACATGATTATTCCTTTGTGAACATTTTTTTTGGGCTCTGAGTACCTGGATAATCGGTTCCAGATCTGGACCCACTTGGATGGCTTTGGACTTCTTCCCACCTGGAAATAATTACAAAGATAAGAACAAAGAGTCATCCAAACCTCTCCCTAAATGCAGGCTATTCCTTGTCACTGGGAGGCCTCTGTAGCCCTGCTTATCACCTACATTCATGTTCACAATCTCGGCTCAGTCCCAACTGTATTTCTCCAGGGATCCTTTGGGTTTCCTGTCTGAATCCTCACTGGATGTTTATACTCTGCTCCCTGGACCAAGCCTTCACAGAACTGTACCTTTCTGATACCCACAAGAAATCCAAACTCACTAATGATAGCATGATTTTTGGAGTTTCCCTGAGAATTTGTGGGATCTGAGGAAACGATCACATGGTACACCACATAGCATTTTAGTGCCATCTGACGGGACCCCTATTTGTTTCTGCCTTCCCAGACTTCCCTGTAGTTGTCATTCACTGTCTTCCCAATGTCTGTTACTGCCATGTGATACCCTCTGTCCTGTATGGAGCCCCCAAGCTAGCTGCGGAGTCCTTCAGACCTGTTTTGGCTTCTTATTCTCAATATCCCTTTCTTTTGTTAATAGTGCCTCAATTTTTCTTCTCACACCCATTGCATGCATTTTGGACAAACTGTCAATCAAAATGCCCTGCAGACTCTGGTAGAAAGGCCTCAGGACCTTAGCTAGGCCAATTAGCCATTCTCTCCCAGTATTTGAGGCAGTTGCAATTGATTCATCCAGACAGCTGCAACCCCAAGAAACTGCCTACTAGAAGTCCTTATTCCTTGCCTTTCTAAGGCCTTTCCTTCAAATCTCTCAGATACGAAATACACCATTTCTTTCTTTTCTACTTAAGCCTATAGAGCTGCAAACAAAGGAACTGGGTGATGCCAATATATTGTCTATTTTCTTGCCTCAACTGCCTTGGAAAAAGCATTTTTTCCTGGAATTCCAGCAAATAATTTTTTCATTTTGTTATATAAATATCAGGAAAATTCTCACAGTTACCAAATCTAATAGATCTTTTCTTTCTTTCTTTTTTAGGAAGGGAAAGAGGAGGAGAAAAAAAATCCAGCCATCATCAGTGGGTTTTCCAGGGGAGAGGGGACAGAGCCTAAAGCTGATACACAAACTTAAATATACTTTAAGTATATAGATACACTTAAAGCTGCCCAAAAAAGCTTTGGTATTTGTTCAAGGTGGGCTGAGATGTGAGACTGAGATGTGTTCTAAAGGCATAATTCACTGAATAATGGAAAGATTTTCCTTGAAGTTAAATAATGGTTGGAACATAATTGTTCCTCTTTATTTGAGGACTCAGGCTGTTGGCACTCATTATGCTGTATAGTCTTCCTTTTGTCATGTGATTAATCAGAACAACTTAATTGTACCTTCTCCTCAGCTAGAAAAATGCATTGTTAATATGTTAAATATTTTATTGTCCTGGATTTCTTTCTATATAACTGGGTTTCTGCGTAGAAATTATCAATCAGGTTAACTGAAAATCATATTCAGAGAAAACATGATGCAACTCTCATCAAATGATCTTCTTGCAAAAGTTACAATACTAAACTTTTAGTATTAGTATTTTTATTTTTGCATAAAAAATACAGAGAAATTAACAGTATTCCCAAATTTTGGCCTGGCAGGTATCTTCAAGGAAATATTTTCAAGGAGAAAAGATGTTTAAGAGATAAATATTTGTCTATGATTTAGGTTAGCTACAAATGGTGGGAGAGTATTTACCACACGGAGCATGGTATTTGTGCTTTCACATAAGGTGACAGGCATACTATGAGGAAAAATTATTCTATAAAATATATGTTCTCAATAAAAATGGAAAATTGGTTTAAATTATACTTCAAGTTGGTCTAATATTGTGACTGATTATCTTGACTGTAACAAAACTTTAGTTTTGCAGACTTGAGGCATTCTACATTGGTCTATAGGCTGCTATGGAAACTAACCAAAATGTATTCCTATACTATGTAGGGGCATTTCCACTGTACCAATTGACAAGTACCTGATAGAGAAAGACTAAAACTTGGTGTCTTAGCTGAGTAGGCTTGGATTGGACCTCAGAGGAAAAGACAATTATTAGAATGTATAGTTACATTGTATTTTTCAAACTATTTTAGACACTTGAATTTGGCATTCTTTACAACATTTGTGAAGTAGGTTAGTATTATGACTGCTTCTTTATTTAGTTGAGACAATGAAGAATTGTGGAGTAGAATTTTCAGGGTATGGTCCTTAGGTAGGACTATAATTAAGCCATCGGGAATAAATTTTCCTCCATTTTATTCTGAGAAATCTCTAGTTTATTCAGAACATCCTACTTGAAAAAAATTTTCCTTCATTTTTCATCTATATCTTTCCAAGTAAAATTTAAGCACACTATCAAGAATAACAATAAATAATATGATTTCCATGTATTAAACACTGGGTAAGTGCTGAGGATTCTGCTGAACTCTTTTCATATATTAGTTCTTCTATTACACAGTTTTATGAAGTACATGTTGTTACTGCCATTTACAGAAAAGGAGTCTGACTCAGGGAGATGAATTCACTTGTTCAAGTTCACTATTAAGTGCCAGAAGCAGAATTTGAAACCAGGTCTGTTTGACTCCTAAGTCTGAGTGCTTAATCATTTTGCCCGCTTTCTTGTTGCCATTTTATATTTGCACCCAATGCTTGTTTTGCATACTACTATATAAGTAAGTTTTGTAAGTGGTGTGTTACATAAGTTACACATGTGTAACATGCTTTTGAAGTAGCAGTGGACTCAAAAAATAAAAATGCTGTGTGTGGTTAGGAGACTTCAGCTCAAACCCAGACAGTAGGTACTTCGTAACTACGGCTCCGTTTAGTTATTAAAAGGATTTCATGAGATTCAATAAAAGAAATGTCAACCTCAGGGCTTGGGGTAGAGGCATAGAACAGGGAGTCAACTTGTTTTCCTTAGCTCTCACAAGAAGAGTTGTTCTCACTTAATCCAGTCCCCTCACTTACTAAGCTTATCAAAAATGCAAACATTCATTCATTCATTCAACAAAGCTCACTGAGTTCTTAGTGCCAGGCATTGTCTTAAGTGCTGCTGATATAGTAGTTAACAATATAGACAAAACTCTAGCTCCTCTAGATGTTCTTGCTAAAACCCTTCAGGGACTCCACATTACTTAGAGGAAAATGTTCACATTTCTAATCAGCGAACAATTACTCATTCTTGACTAAGCCTCTGTAATGGAGGCATTTGCCATGAAATAGGATGCCTGGAGTGATGGGAGAAGGTAGGTAGGAAACAGAGAGCTGTAGAGAAGGCAGGAGACTGAAAGTCTATGTGGGGCCATGGACTGGAATTCAGGAAGTGGGAATTCTAATTCCAGCTTTGAACTCTTCTCTGCCATGGCTTCCCCACGACTTTCTCAGCCCCATGAGGATGGGACTGTGGCATCCTCATCTGGGCATCCCTATTGCCTGACCCAGTCCTGGCACACAGGAAGAGTTTAACAAATATTCCAACACAATGGTCCGAAGTACTTTTAGAAATTTAAGTTTCTAAATCCAATTTGGATCAGATTTTTCTCTTCTGAAAGTGAGGTCATATAGATCCTTGCAACACAAAGTGTGGCCACAGACACACAACATTGGCTATGCCAACTATACCAATTTGGCTATATAAACTTGTTCAAAACAAAGAACTCCAGACCTCATCCAAAATGACTGATTCAGTCTGCTTTTTAATAAGATCCTCAGGTCATTTGTATGTATATTAATGTTTGAGATGTGCTGTACCAGATCATTTTTATAACTGATTAATAATTTTAAGACAAAATACAAGCAACTCTATAACACTATACTTCAGTATTGCCTGCTATTTTCATAAATATCACAAGACAAATATAAGGCTAGGGAGTCAGGAAGCTACAATAGGATAGACTCTGAAATCCCATAAACCTCATTGGAAATATTGGCACCCAAGAGAAAAGAACTTTATAGCTTCTGACAAAGTTAGGAGGCTGTAGACAGAACATATTGCATTTGTCAACCTGGAAACATTAAGAAAGTTTGTTCTTTTGTGCAATCATTTAGCAATAAGGTAAGGCTTGCCAGGTAGATTTATTGGGATATTGGATTTTATGTTTCTTGTATTGAATAATATTTTTTACATTGTTTATGTCTAAATAAATCTGTCTTCTATTTTACATCACCCTGTTGCATTGCTGCTTACAGATAAAGGGTTCAGGTAGCATAATTTGCTCTGCCCTTGGGACATGCTGCTGTACATTACAACCCGGTCACCTGGTGACTACAGCAGAGAATTTCAATGTGCTCTGAGAAGTTGCACAGAAATAGTGAGGGAATAAAGCTTAATGAGAAAAGGTGGTTTCTAATCTTGCTCCTTTTACTCTGTGCCTTGAAGACACTGATTATCAGCAGAATTCAAACCCAAAGATGATAATTTCAAAGTTAAATCTATGCTCTAAAACCTCCACATATGATCTAGTCCTTATGACAGCTGCTTTGTAACACCCATGGCTTTATGCCCATCAATACCTATGTGATTTTTTATTATTTTTGTGGCATATATACCAGAATTGAAACAGTAAGCAATAGTGAAAAGAAAAAAAAATGATTGGAGTTTAAAAATAACAAAATTTCGCAAAGGAAATACTGACTAGTGTACAGCAAATTAATGTAGACCCTTCTTTGTGCTTATAAAAGAATAGAAATGTGCTCTCATTTTGAACAAGCACGATAAAATATGTCCATTTGTGCTACAGTTTTTATCCATTAGTCTGGTTTATGATTTGATTTCATGTTTCCATTGTTCCAAAGCAATTTTCCAGATTGAATCTTAAAAGGATTATAAACCACAAAAGTCACTTTAAATTTTACATGCAGTTAATACACCTACTGCACTTCTGTGCATTTGTCTTTTAAACTTTATACGGAAATTTGTTGACACTTTGCCTTTAGCTTGTTTCTCACAGTACAGTTTAGGTAAAAATTTGTCAAACACTGATGCCTGCCTTATATATGTTTT